GACAGCGGAGTCTGACTCTAGCGTAGAGCAATTATAAAACTGCGGTGGCTTCAGCGGCTTCAGACAACCGCGTACCAGGAGTCATTAGAGAACCGTCACCGCTGAGGCTAACGCTGACTGCCCTCACATGAATTGCAGCATTGACAAATCTTCCCCTAAACCCGCATGACCACACATGTTTTGATTGGGGTCCGGTGACTGCATGCAACAGGTCAGGCAGAGGTCAGGGTCATTTTCATTGTTAGTCGTCGCAAGTAAACCTACGGTTCATTTTCTGAAACCGTTTCTTCGCTTCTCTCTTCGATTTTCGTGCACAACTCCAGGTTTGTAAGTTGCAGAGTTTTTTTATTTCTTTTTCGTTTCGTCTTCATTTTCAGTGGTTTTGTCAACACTGAAATAAGCCTGCTAAAAAACTGCATAGCGTCTGGAGCAGAACGGATGCTTAGATGTCCTAGTTATGCAGATATTCTAAGATAAAGAGAAGGTTCATTACGACGACGGTTATATGTTTGTCAGCACTGGTAAAATGGTTAAGACCGCTTCGGGCTGATCATGCTCAAGAACAATGGCCTGGCGGTCGGAAGGCTCCAAAAAGTCGATTAAGATTTGTTACATATTTTTTATACCGTTTTTGCAATAACAGTATATGACAATGAACAAGATCATTAAAAATTGAAGTGAGAACCTGTAAATAAGCTTCAAGATTGACGAGAATGATTTATTGTTTCATGGTCAGCTATTTAAAATTGAACTCGACCTAGTTCCATAAGCCAGCGGACTGCGGCCGACTGGATATTGATTTTTCTGCAATTCAACTGCAAACATTTTATGCTAAGTGCATTCTTCAAGAAACAGCCAGTCAATTTCTTTCAGGTCTCACAGATACCCCGTTTCCAAAAGTCTGCCGTGAGCACAAAGGTACAAGAACCAAGGAAATTCTGTTATCCATTAAAGGAGCCTTCAAGCTAAGAAAAGCATGTCACTCAGTGATGTGCATGTATTCGAAGACGAAGTTCCTCTGGTCAGGAGCTGCCCACAGCTGAATCAGTTCCGGCTTCAGCACGAACACAGTGATGTGACGATTACTGTAGGTCATCCTCGAAAGTCACGCCTGCTAATCTTCCTATTTCAGCTCAAAGATGGTTCATTTCTGTGTGCACATAAAGTTATTTTGGCAGCCAGGATCCGAACCCTGCAACATTTGCTCAGTGGACCATCGTTGTCTGCGACCAAACCTGCATTTATTCAATGGAAAGATGTATCACGAACGTAAGTCGTTATGCACTATGTTTTTAAATTCCGAAACTAAAGTTGTGCCGATAGGGTTTTGCAGTACATTTACACTGGCCAACTTGAAGTGGATGTTGAGCATGCGACGGGAGTTGTTACACTAGCAAGGCAGCTGGAACTACCTCAGCTCGAGAAGTGGGTCGTCAGTTTCCTGTTAGAAAGGTAAATGATGGTGTTCTTTATTAAAAAGAAACAGACTTGATGAAGGGAACCTCACAACAACCTGGAACTTCTGCCAGTCTCTCGGCATCGAGCCTCTTGCAACGGCCTGTATCGAGTTAATCAAGGAGACTTTCCAGTCCTTCGCATCAAGCAAACTTTTCACTCATTTGCCAGCGACCGCCTTGCTTTTTCTCCTAAGAGAGGACGATTTGTATGTTGCCGGGGAGGAGAACATAGTTGAAGCCATCACTAAATGGATTTCTGTCAA